CCAAGGAACCCAACCCAGGCAAGCGTGCTGGGTTCGCAAGGAACCTAGCGCTTGGGTGGGTTCGAAGGAACCCAGGCCTATTGGGTTCCAAGGGGAAAGAGAAGGGAAAGGGGAAGGAGAAAGAGAAAGGGAAAGGGGAAGGAGAAAGAAAAAAGAAAAAAAGAAAAAAAGAAAAAAGAAAAAAAATTTTAATTTTAATTTTTCATAATATTTTTTTATATTATTTTTTTTTCACATCATCACTTTTTGATTATATTATCTTCCACGTGGATTATTATATGATATGTCATCTGATAACCGTTAAGTAACAAACCACGTCACATAATTTTTAATGGAAGGACCAAATCGGGGTAAAAATGGTAAACAATAGGGACCAAATCAAGAATTTTTTTAGTTCAAGGACTAAATCGAGGGTCCGTACAATAATTTAGGGACCAAAAAGAAGTTTTAACCTTAACAATAATGTAACCTTAGCAGCTAGGATACGCGTCAGTTATGTATATCTGAAAATTGTTTTACCGTTTTTTTTTTTTTGTAAATTTACTTAAATGGTTTTTAAAAAATAAAATAAAAATAAAAATAAAAATATTTAAATAATTTTATAAGATAAATTGTATATAAATGATCTTGTAAAACAGTTTTCTCTGTACATATTGGCTTAGCATTCACTAGGGCTTTGCCCGAAAATCTTTGTAGGCTCAATGAGCACTCAAGTAGATTAGCTAAATGAATTCTCATTTTTATCCGGGCAAAAAAAGGAAAAAAAACTATTAAAATAATTGCAACAAAAGGTTTAATTAAAAAAACATGGACTTTATGGTCTTCACCGATTGTCCAATACTTTGCTACCATTGTTGTTGATATTAGATTCACCTTATGACGTGCTTTAACAAGTTGCATTTTTCCTCTAATCCTAACCACCTTTTAATCTTAATTCATCTGACTTTTTGTGATTTCACCAGTGACCAATTCCATTATTTGATCATTCATCCATCTTTTTGCGATTTCACTGGTGATCAATTCCAATGACTCTATCTAACAATTGATTTTTAAAAATATTAATTAAAAAATATTTTAAAATAAAATTTCCAAAAATAATTAAAAGAATAACTTGTAAAACATTTTTCATATATAAATATGAGTTGAAATTTATTTACATATAAATTTTACACATTATATTTATATAAAATTTCAATTATTCATTTCTTAATTTTTAATAGTTGAGATTTACCATAACTTTTTAAATAAAAAAATTATATTTAATAAATGTAAATAAATCTAAACTATTAAAAGTTGAGAGATAAATTTTTGAGATTTTGTATAAATATAGTGTATAAAATTTATATGTAAATAGATCTCTGCTTTATATATATATATATATATATGTGTGTAAATAGATTCTTACTTATATATAAATTAGTGCTTATTTGCTTTACACTTTAACAATTAAGAGGAAAATTACTATAAACTTATGTTGTTTTAATAAACCACTATAAGAAAAAACTAAAAACAATTTAATTCATGTTTAAAAATAAAGTATTTTAGTTATTTTCAATAAGAGTTTATGAAAATGACGTAATTTTGGAATAATTTTCTTCCAACTTTTACAAGATAAGGTGGACAGACACTTTTCTTTATAGTACATATTGTATTATATTATATATAAGTTAAGATATGCGTATACATAACTCTTACAAACATCACATATATAAATTCTAGATTATTCATTTCTAAACTATTAATAGTTGAGATTTAATTATCACAACTTTTTAAATAAAAAGACAATTATCTTTAAAATTTTTTTTAAAAAAAAGGTGAATAAATCAACCATTCCTGGTGGAGAGGTGAATAGTTAATATTTTATGTAAGTGATTAAATGATAAGAGTTGTGGTCAAATGAATATTAACTCTATATACACTACATCTGTCAAAGAATAATTGATGATTTTTTATTTTATTTTCATATTAATAATTTATGAATAATTTATATTTTTACATATACTATCTTAAAAAAATAAAATAATACTTTTTATGATATGATAAATAATTAAAATCAATAGATAATAATACGGTTGAAATGAAAAAAAAAAATTCTCCCTTACAACATTAAAAACCTATTATTCTAAAAACAAGTTTTAAATTAAAAACCATCTACTATTTAGATACGGATGGAAATATATTTATGTGTTTGTAAAAAGTGTTTTGCATGTATAGATATGTTTAAAAACTCATATTCTAATTCATATTTTCAAAAATTAACTATTAAATTAAAAATGTCTATTTATATAAATTATGTATATTAATTTTTAAATTGATTTAGTAAGTTTAACTAATTCATAAATTACACCAAATTTAATACTATTAAATACATGTTAACAAATAAATTTTTTTTATCAAAGTGTTATAAATATTAAATTCATATAAAATTAACATATATAATTTACATAAATAAAAATTTTAATCCAATTGTTGGTTTTTAAAAATATTAATTAAGTGGTGAGTTTTTAAATAGATATTCCAAACCAAAAAAAAAAATTGAGGGGACAACTTATTGGAAATTTTCTTGTGGGTTGCCACTATTTGTGTTTTTGTCAAATAAAAAATTAATAAAGTTTAATAAAGTTACGTAGTTCAAGTAGGTTTAAGTTTAATTTCAATTATATATGCTATGGGATGAATAAGTATAGTGCTTGGAATTAAAGGTTGCAATGGGAACTCAAAAGGTTATTGTTCTTTTAAGCAAAAAATAAACAAATTTTAGAAAATACAATGTAATTGATATTGTTTGCTTTGGTCCCTCGGATCTTATAGTTTTAAAATGCATTAATACATCAATAGAAGATAATAGGTGTTAATTCATATACCTGTATCTTTCCTCTGCACTATTGATACTATTTGCTTCAACCTCTCAAGCCTCATAATTTTAAAATACATTAATAAAAAGTAATGAGTGTTAACTTATATACCAAGCATCTCTCATGTTTTTTTGTTGGCATGGAATTGGATTCCCGGTGTTATATATAAGCTTTATTTGGTTTGATTATTAAAAACAAGTAATAATAATTGTAGCTAATATCTGATAGAAAAATTGATATCAATTTGAAATTAACTTATTTATAGAAGTTTTTAAATAAGGTTTTTCTATCTTGTATAATGCAATTATTACACTCTTTTTACATTAATTAGAATTAAAAAAAAGAGTTTGTTTAATCTGAAAGTTAAGGTCACAGTTAAGCCTTATTAATTATTGTATTTGTAATTAATTTTGTACTAATTTTTATATCAAATTCATACATTTTTACAAATTTTGAGTATAAATATTATATTTGGTTTTAATTTTACATTTTATATTTTATTTTAATTAAATTTGATATAAAAATTTATGTAAAATTAATTACAAATAATATATTTAATGAGGCTAAGGACATAGGTCAAAAAATTCTATTAAAAAATAAAACTACTGTCATTAATTTTATTATCAGTTCCCCGTAAGTTATTTTAATTAAATAATTAAGTAAATAAATATCTAACTCTTTTAAATATTATAACCACTGTTTAAAGAAAAAAAAACCAGCAATTTAAAGAAAAAAAATATAAAATATATGCTATAGAATGACAAAGTCACCCAAAACAAATAAACAAACTTGCAGCAACATGATAACGTGAACAAAGTCAGCTTTAATTTCTCCCTAATGTCCGGTAATTACAAAATTTCCTCACGTCCCTAGATTTGATCTGCCTCTGTCCGTTCCATTACCTCACTTCATAGAATTTATCGTTGAAGCAGTAAACGAAGCAGTAAAAGGAATTTTCTGTTAAGGGCGTAATTAATGTAATATATGTTTTAATCATTAAATCATATGAAAAATTAAAAAAATGATGTTAAATTTAATATTAGATACATGTATTAATTTAATTAGATAAATGATATAATTAAAATTAAAATTTATTTTTTAAAATAATTGTTATTTTTTAATTTTTAATTAAGAAGTAAAAGGAATTTTCTGTTAAGGGCGTAATTAATGTAATATATGTTTTAATCATTAAATCATATGAAAAATTAAAAAAATGATGTTAAATTTAATATTAGATACATAATTAAAAAAATGATGTTAAATTTAATATTAGATACATGTATTAATTTAATTAGATAAATGATAAAATTAAAATTAAAATTTATTTTTTAAAATAATTGTTATTTTTTAATTTTTAATTAAGAATTTAAGATAAATTTATGTATTTATTTGTATTACCCTTAAAAAATTAAAAATTTTGAAATAAGATAATTAATCAAAATAAATAAATAATGATATGGTTAAATTAAGAAAAAAAATATTTGCCTACTTTAAAAATAAAAAATGACAATTACTCAAAGTAAAAAAAATAATAATTATTTTGAGATAAATAAAATATATGATGTGATATGACTAAATGTAGTAACTAGAGTTAAAAGTGAGTTATTTGATGAGTAGTTCAAAAAATTATTATTTTTTAAGAAAAAATAAATTTAAGAAAATATTGTAATGATAATTATAGTTAATATCTGATTAGAAAAATATCAATTTGAAGTTGACTTATATATCAAAGTTTTTAAATAGAACTTTTTTTAAGAGAGTACCCAAATTAAAGTTATAATTATTTTATTATTTTTATATTAATTAATATTAAAAATATAAAAAATATTATTAATTTTATTATTAGTATTATGTAAATTATTTTAATTAGATAAATATTTAAATAAAAGTCTAACTCTTTCCAATATCATAACCGCCGGTTTCAAGAAAAAAACCAGCGATTTAAAGAAAGAAAAAGTATAAAATGCTTTCGCATGACAAAATCACCAAAAACAAATAGTACATAAACTTGCAGCAAAATGATGGTGTGAACAGACTCGGCTTTAATTTCTCCCTAATGTCCGGTAATTGCAAAATTTCTCAGCTCCCCTTGATTTACTCTCTCTCCCCGTTCCATTGCCTTACTTGAGAGGACTTGTGGTGGAAGCAATAAACGAATTTTTCTTTTTCTTTTTCTTTTTTTTTTTTGGTACATCAGAAACAAACTACTTAAAACAGACTAAGCTCTGGGAAACATAGTTCCCACCCTATCTTCTAAAAGAATCTGCTGCAAACCAACAGGAGGGGAATCCAAAAAGGTGACACCCTTGCAAGCCGCATGACTCAAAGAAGCTAAGAAATCAGCTGCTGCGTTTCCTTCACAAAGTGTGTGGCGTAGGACAAAGGAAGAAAATCTACCAGAGATGGTCTTGATGTCCACAACAAGAGCAGCTCCTTGCCCCCCACTATTGCCATTATCCAAAATCAACTGTACTGCCATTGAAGAGTCCATTTCAGCTATCAATCGAGAAATGCCCAATGAGAGGCAAAGCTTGAGGCCTTCTCGCAAGCCCCATAATTCGGCAACTAAACTTGTGGCCCTACCAATATTCACCAGGAAACCATGAAGCCAATTCCCATTTGAATCTCGTATTAAGCCCCCTACACTTGCTGAGCCCCGCCGTAGCGACCCATCTGTATTCAATTTGAAGAACCCGTCTTCAGGTGGATGCCATCTAACCCAACAAGTTTCTCGTATTTGTCCGCAAATTGCATTTGATTGGGCGAGTGAAGTATAAAATGCATGCTGGACAATATGAGAATATAACACAAGCAGGGGAGTATGAATATTGTTAAAGATCAGCTTGTTACGGTCTTTTCAAAGCAACCAAACAGCCGATAAGAACCAACAGGCCAAGGGGATTCCTAGACCCCTATGGTTACTTTTAATTGTAGCAAATTTTTTGATCCAAGGGGTGGTGTCTAAGGTGAAAAAGTCTTGAGCCTGAACTCCTAGTTTACACCAAATCTGTCTTGCAAACTGACAGTCACGCAATATGTGAATGGAAGACTCAGCAGCTAAGCCACATCTAGGATAGTTTGGAGAGTCGGTAAGGTGGCGATTATAGCGAACCTGATTGCAGAGAATTTTATTCCTTGTAACTAACCAAACAAACATCCTTACCCTCTCTGAACTTTGTAATTTCCACACCTAACTCCAATTTGAAGCAATAGCAAGGCCACCCATTTCTTGCTTCTACAACAGCTGAAAAGCAGATTGAGTTGAAAAGCTGCCATTAAAAGTCCTTGCACAAAAAAGTTCATCTTCCAACTCTACCTCTATTGGTAAAGGGACTACTCTAACCGCATCCGCAACATCCTCTGGCAGCAAGTTTCTCAGAGAATCTAGGTTCCATTCCCTATTTGGTGTAATCAAATGAGCAACCGGCATAGTGACTTTAGTGAGAGCCTCCAAATCAATAGGCCCCGTAATAGAGTGCTGTAAAGAAGAATCACCCACCCACCCACACGTCTGTCCAAAAATTGATGTTGACACCAGAACCGACACGCCACCTGATACCAAGTCTAAGCATTTCCCTACATCGCAAGATGCTTCTCCAAATTGGTGAGGAGTTTTGCACTGGCTCCACATCAAACAGAGATGTCATTCGAAGGTATTTAGATTTAAAAGCTTGGCACCATAATGCAGTATCCTCCTTAAGTAGGCACCATCCCAACTTGGCTATAAGAGCCCTGTTATTTGTCCATGTCGAGCGAATGCCAAGGCCACCATATTCTCATACGAGGCAAACAGTCTCCCAATTCACTAAATGTGGTTTTTTCATTTCTGAATTTGAAGCCCATAGAAATTGCCTATTCAACTTATCAATGGCATCACATGTTGCCTTCGAAAGTAAAATTGCCTGCATAGTATAACAGGGAATGGAGGAGGTGATAGATTTAATTAAGGTACACCTTCCAGCCATGTTGAGGGTGGACCGTTCCACGCAGTTAACTTCAGCTATATTTTCTCCAAGATATAACGATAATCATGAGTAGATTTCCTCTTCTAGAGTATTGGAACTCCTCAGTAAGTGCCCACAGTCGATGATAATGGGATACCACATCTCGAGCTAAGTGCATTGGCCACTGCTGACCCATTGCCGACTGCACATTAGAAGATATACACAACTTGGATTTATGAAAATTGATGATCAACCCAGAGGCGCTTGCAAAACTATTTAAGCACTGCATAATGACATTAATCTGCTGGTGGGATGCATGGGCAAAGAGCATGAAATCGTCAGCAAAAAATAAAAGAGAAACTTTCAAACCACCCCTTGAAATTTGGATAGGTTGCCACACCTTAGTATTCACCTTATGTTGGATCAAGTAGGCAAGTTTTTCCATAACCATGAGAAACAGATATGGAGATAATGGATCTCCCTGCCTTAGTCCCCTTTGTGGAGAAAAGAACGAAAGAGGTTCCCCATTCCATAATACAGAGAGTTGCACTGATGTAACCAAAAACATAATCAACTCAATAAGTTTCTCAGGGAGGTTGAAATCAACTAAAACTTGCCTTAGGAAAGACCAATGCACATTATCAAAAGCTTTATGCAAGTCAATTTTTAACACCATGTTCCCTTTTTTGCCTTTCATATGCTGCATAGTATGCACCACTTCTTGAGTAAGTATCATATTATCCAAAGTGCTTCTACCTGCTAGGAAGCTACTTTGGTGAGGGCCAATTAGTTTTTGTAACAACGATCGAAGCCGATTAACAATTACCTTAGACAACACCTTGTAAGCCACATTAAAGAGGCTAATTGGGCGAAATTTCTGGATGGAGTCAAGATTCCTTTCCTTTGGAATAAGAACCACCAACGTCTTTGATAACTCAGTATCAAAACAACCCTCTCTAAGGGCACTGTTAATAAAATCAAGAAATGTACCTTTTACAACCTCCCAGTGTCTCTGATAGAACAAAGGTTGTATGCCATCTGGTCCTGGACTTTTGAGGCCTTTCATGGAAAACAAAGCCACTCTAATCTCCTCTAAAGAAGCTTTTGAAGTAAGGGTGATGACTAGTAGAGTCAATGATTGGTTGGAGAAGAGTTGGCAGAGCAATATTACTTGGATCCCGTCGAGAAAATAAATGAGTATAAAAGTCACGGACATGTTGCTTTAAGACCTCCGGGTTGTCTAACCATACACCATCAATTTTTAATGCTCCTATTTTGTTACTACACTGCCTAGTAAGAGTAGACATATAGTAGAAGGAAGTATTCCGATCACCTGAGGCAATCCAATCCACCCTTGACTTCTGGAACCAAAGCACTTCCTCTTCAAAAAGGGCTTGTTGATACTCTTGCAATAAATGATTCTCTAGAGATTGTAAAGGAGCGGAGGAGCCATAGGATGGAGAATTTTGAATTCCAGCAATCATTGCCCTTAAAAGGCGCTTCCTTCGAAAGATGTTTCCAAAAGCCTCTCCCCCCCATAAGATACAAGCAGAGCTTGTATTCTCAATAGCTGCCTTCATATCCAAAGGGTACTGCCCCCAGGCTTGCGAAAAGACTCTAGAAAACTCTTCCCTTGTGAGCCATACAGCTTTGAAACGACGTGGTTTATATGGTAAAGGTTGAGATGCAGCCGTATCAAAATTTTGCAAAATGGGGTGGTGATCGCTGTAGATTCTTGGCAAATTAATGAGTTTAGCCCCTTGAAATTGTACTTTGGCCTGGGCATTGAACAAGACCCTATCATGCCTTTCCCGCCACATTACTTGGCCATGTTGAATGTGACACCAAGTAAACTTACATCCTAAAGCATCTTCAGAAAATATATTACAGTTATCTAAAATCTGTCGGAACCTTGATGCTCTTTGAAAGGTTGCCGAATGCCTAGGAAAGACCTCATCAGCAGACATAATTTCATTGAAATCTCCCATAAGAACCCAACTAACTGTATTAATTAGACTTTGAAATTCAATATCATTCCAGAAAGCTTCTTTGAAATGTGCCTGAGGTCTAACATACACTAAGGAAAGCAAGTAGTTCTTAACATTATAATCAACAGAACAATGAATTACCTGGGCTGAAGATGAAAGTACAGAGAGATGAACTCCCGACGACTTCCAAAACCACCAAAGTCCCCCAACGAAGCCAGAAGCTGGCACTTGAAATTGCTTATCATAGCCAAAGCATGGTATAAAGCCTAGAGCACTTGAAGTGGAATCGGCTTTAGTTTCCATGAAACAAATGACATCGGGTTTATGAATCTTCAACATTTCCTTACATTCCCGACGAAAGGGGTGATACTGTACCCCCTGCTATTCCAAGTGATGATCTTCATTAAGAACTGGGATTTGGATGGCTTCTAGAGGAAGCGGTGAGGACTGGTGACAACGCACCCATATTTATCTCTGTTTGCAGGGTTACCAAGGCTTTAGGAGCATGCACATCCTAGCCTTTGGCATGGCCACACTTTACTACCTTTTGCATAAGCCCTGGGTCACTTGAAACCACCATGATTGGCGTCTGTGAAGAAGTATCTGTCGCAGGTCGTCTCTCTTTCCTACCTACAATTTCCTCAGTTGTCCCTATGGCGAGAGAATTTGCTCCATCATGCTGAATCTCCTTTGGAACTTTACGAGGACTAGGGGCAGCATAAGGCATCGCCATAGGGTGTTTTGTGATCTTCTAGACTGGCCCCACACTGGATTTTACCTTGTTCTTCTTGGATTGCATAGCCGTTATAGTGGTCCCCTGTTCCAATGGGCCCATGTTATCAAGTTGAGTTGGAGTAGATTTTTCCAATACGATCTCCATTCTAGAAGCTTCATGAGCTGGATGTTTAAAGGTTGAAATCCCTTCTCCTGCCACAGTTGGTGGGGCTACCTCCATAACAAGAACCTTTCCCATTGAAAGTGATTCTGTTTCCAGGTTGGAGATTGCTTCAAATCTATTACCTCCTGAATTACCATTGGAGAAAGAGTTTCGAGTTTGAGGGATTCAATTTGATTGCCATTGAGGTTTACAGCTTACAATCGGCCAAGGCCCATAGTGTTTTGCAAGAGTAGCAAAATTAGCAGATTGCGTTGGAGTTGGTTTCTGAGAAGTTCCTAATGGTGAATCACCAACTGTCGGGGGTTGACGGTAAGGGCAAACTGTCTTTTTGTGGCCAAATTCACCACAATGGAAACACACATTATTTAGATCATATGCCACTGTCAAAAGCATAGGAGTTGGGTCTACTCCATCATACAAATCAACCATCGAGACCAACTGTTCAGCTAAATCAACTTCTACACACACCTTTGCATACTGGCCACAGGTGGCTAGCAAAGTAGTTTCATCTACCAAGATAATGCGACCCACTTGATTCCCCAACAAATGGAGAATTGGTTCCTCATAATACTCAGTCGACAGTTCCGGAAAGTGTACCCATATAGCAGTCTTTGGGGCCTTTGCACAAGAAGGACAAAAATTAGGTGGCCATGGCTGCACCGCAAGATAGTGATCAAAGATCTTCCATGGTCCCCCCATAAGGACTCGATGTCTCTCCTCCATAGAGGCGAACTTCACAGTATAGTAGCCCAAACCTAAGTCAATCATATCAAACTCACACTCTGTTTTCCATAAGTACTTCAGTCTAGAACAGAGGAGGTTATGGTTAATTATTTTCCCTAAGAGTTTGATGATAACTATATTCTTCCAGTTCTCTCGCAGTTGGAGGGTTATCTCTGGGGAAAGTCTCACTGATGGGATTCTAGGGCCTCGATTTTGAGTGGTATTCGCTACCATATCTGCTTGCTGGTTAAGGAGTTCTAGCTCCACATATGATACCAGAGGATGAGTGGGAGAGACAAATCCAGCGACAAGAGTATCCCTAAAGCTTTTAAGGGGCGGTGGGTTCTGTACACCCATATTGGGGGAAGGCTCTAGTTGTGGAATAGAAGGCATCAGCAATAAAGGGGGGGCCGTGACTGGTGGCGGTGTAACAGCCTTGATTCGATGAGTACTACGTTCCAAGGAATCACGTTCATCTGAGGAGAAGGGGGGTTGGAGGAGGGAGAAGCCATCTGCGATCCTTTTAGTTGTTGCTTTTTTGGTGTAAATGTAATATAAACGAATTTTTCTAATCCCTCTCGCTAAGGGTGTTATTAATATAATATATTTTATATTCTGTTTATTTTAAAATAATTGTTATTTTTAATTTTAAATTTATTTTGAATTTCATGATTATTTTTTATTTTTTAAGATAAATAAATAATATATTTTTTTATTTTAATTCTATTTCTATGTATTCACTTTAATTAATTACTAATCACAAAAATCTTTTTTTGTCTTTTATTTCTTTTTTAAAAATATTATAAATAAGAAAGAAGTGTATATCAGTCCTAACTTTAAAAAATAAATGGAGTTCTAATTTTAAACTATATCGTTTTATTTAATCAAAATTTAATTCAAAATTTAAAAAATTATTATATTAAATATTGATATATTAGAATCTATAATAGATTTATAAATTTAAATATCAATATTTAATAAGATGGGATTTTAATTTTTATATATACATTGGAACTCCAATTATTTTTGAAAATTAAGACTGATATGCATTATCTTCTATAAATAAATACAAATATTGTTTTAAAATCGTTAATTTTAAAAAATAAAATAATAATACTTATGTTGAAACAAAAAGAATATTCATTAAGTCACATGAAAAATAAAAAAACTAATATTAAATTTAATACCAATGACATATGTATTAATTTAATTAATTTTTTAATAAAATTAAAATTAAACTTTATTTTTTAATGTAATTTAATGTAAAAATATGTATATTAATTACTTAGTATATGTGTTACAAAAACCCATTTACAAATGCCAGACGACAACAACAAACTTGATCATCACCTTTCTCTTCCTCTCTATCGCAGTCTTTGTATCTGTAATCTACAATTTGGGTGTTGAAAATGGCGAGGTAACGATTGGATAAACAGCTCTCTGTAGGCGATACTCAATGTGATAATCTACATAAAATATTGGGCATAGCATACCTGCCATCACATTTGCCCCTCTTTATATGATAGGGGGTGTTTCATATAAATAAGTATAGTGCATAAAATTAAATGTGAGACGTTTGATAGAATTTCAAAATATTATTATTTTCTTTTAAAAAATAAAGTCTGTTATAATATTTGTAATTGATATTTGATAGAAAAATTGATATCAATTTGAAACTAATTTATATATCAAAAGTTTTTAAATAGTATTTTTTTAGCCTATGCACTTAGCAAATTAAAAATGTGATTATTATATTATTTTTATATTAATTAGTATTGAATAATATAAAAATTGTGATGAATTTTATTGTTAGTGCTATGTAGATTATTTTAATTGTGAATAATTAAAAGTATATTATTATATTTTTTTATTATAAATTTATATTAAAAAACTAAAATTATTCTTTAATTTACTAACTTGAAAAATGAGAA